AGGTTGTAAGGTATTTTTCTTTCCAATAAAAATTTCCACCATCCCTGACAGATGGTCATTTTAAATACCTTCAGTGATGGGGAATTACTGTCTTCAGGCAACACATGCTATTTTGGGTTATAAGCTGATATTTTATAAAGGGCAAATGGTAAGTTATTTGAAAGACTAAAGAAATAGGGATATTATTCACAATAAATTATACATGGAAGCCTTTCTAGACACCATTGAACTAGATAAGTCATCAAGTTTAAGTTCAAAATTAATTGATTACAATGCTATTTGGACACCTAAATGTTGGATCTGATTTCACCGAAAAGGGCATAGTTTCTTTGGCTGCTATAAAAATAAATATTTTAATATGTACCTCATTCACATTTCCACGGTACAACATTTCAACGACACATCTGGCAACACTTTGATCTTTCATCTCTCTATTTAGGCAGTGGCAAGCAAACAGCCATTAAATGTGTGTGTGTGTGTGTGTGTGTGTGTATACCTTCAATATATTTTGCAATGCTTATGCATATGTATGTGATCCAGATCAAAGCATCTTCAATAAATATAAGGTATCATAGAAAGCCATTTTATACTACTACTCTGTTGAAAATAATAGTGCTTATATTTTATTTTTATCTTTGTATTATTATTCCACTAAATAAGGAAAACAGTTACTAAACCATTCACTTATTTACTTGTTTTAGAAGAACTCAGAAGCCTAGTGGTTTCAGATGGCTGTCACCTGTGATTGATGCTTGGTATTCCCATTTTCATTTATGTAAATTATCAAAAGCTCCTACAGCCTCTTTTAGTACAAATCTACTGCCACGTTATTGCTACAAAATTGGAAAGTATGTGAAGCTGCACACTTAAATATGGTATTGGATTATTTTAATCTAATCTGTCTAAATAATGAAATAGTGGAATATGTTTTATAGCTTGTAATGCCAGCACTTTGAGAGGATGAGAGAGAAGGATCGCTTGAGACCAGGAGTTCAAGGTCAGCCTGGGCACCTTAGGGAGACTCTGTCTCTACAAAAAGTGAAAAAAAAAAAAAAAATAGCCAGCTATGGTGGCACATAACTGCAGACCCAGCTACTTGGGAGGCTGAGGCAGGAGGATCACTTGAGCCAGGTAGGTCGATGCTGCAGTGAGCCATGATGGCACCACTGTACTCCAGCCTGGGTGACAGAATGAGACCCTGCCTCCCAAAAAATAAGATTTTATAAAGTTGTCTAGGATTTATAGTAGGCTCAAAGCCGTCTTACTTGGATACATTTTACATAGCTCCCAATGCTTCTTTTTAGTCCAGGATTCCAGTTGAGAATTAGAATCGCTCCTATTTCTTCGTCATTGAACCACCACTAGAACATCAATCCCAAATCTGCACCTTGGGCATGATCTGTTGGTATGAAATGTCTTGGCCCTAAGAAAATTTCACTGAAGTATCAGATGAAGGTTTTCATGACTACTTTAGCAACATGACTATCTACTGTTTATTTTCTTTGGGTACTAAAAAGTATTCAATAATAAACAAGTCTTTCTCTTTCCAAAGGTATCTTTGTGTTCAAGCTCGAGAATGAGAAAAGCAGCCACTGACCCACAGGAGCTGGCATGGTTCTATCAGCTAGGCCTCAGTGTTCTCCTGCTGAACACAAAAAATTTCTCAAAGCATCAACATCAGACAAGGCCACTCTGACCATGACAGAGTAAAACAGAAACAGCACCACTCCCTTATCATGTCTGAACACAGACAAAACAAGGACGTTGTCCAAGCCACGAAATACCAAACATCTCCCTCTCTTGCCAGATGAGATTGCCGCTTCCTTACAACCAAAGCTTCAGTAACCCTCTATCCTCTTCTCCTGTAAATAAGACTTACTGGGATACACAATTGTATAATTGTTCCTGCTTTGTGAGAATACCCCATCCAGAGTGAGTCACCACTCTCTTGAACCCTCTTTCAAATTTCTCAACTGAAGTCCGTATCCTATGCATTCTTCCTGGCACCCGCTTACTGAGATGCCCCATGGTTCCCCATGATTTGTATCCTCCTCATGGCAATGAGTCACAAACCCTTCGTGTTCAACCACCAGTGTACTCCTTGTGGTTTCTGAGTGGAGAATATTGACAAGCTCACTTACTGAAGCCAAAATAGACATTCTTAAGTAAAGCTCAAAGAATTTCCATCCTCAACATACTCAGTAAAATTCTGACATAAATAAATTCCTCCCTGAGCTGATTTTCTCACATTGTAGGTCTTGTGGCCAAAGACACTTTAGCTCTGTCCCTCAGAAGAGCTACTTTTGGAAGGTACAGAATAAACAAGTAAATTACAGCCCATCTGTTATGCATTTACTAGAGATAGAGGCATGATTTCAAGGAATATGATTCAGTAGGATGGATCTACACCCAGGCCACAGAGAGCTTGGTGGTCCATAATCCTGGATGCTTAAGTAGAATCCTACAGCAGATTCAATGTAAACCTCTGGAAGAAAAACAAACAATTGAATGGAAGTGATGTGACATTGACTTTACTCCAATTTTTGCTTTCTCAGGTTTTATGCTTATTGGGGATACTTATCTCTTTACTATTAACTTCCTCATCAAGACACAATTAATGGTCTAGTGTTTACGTATGAAAATGTAAGTTTCCTGCTGTGCAAAATGATGTGAACCAATAACATAAAGACCTAAAGTACATTTATGTAAATCTCAATGATTTGTATGAGGTAAAAAAGTTTCCAATTATAGCATATAATTTTTGACATTTTGAAAAATGACTACTAATCTTTGCAAAGCACCAATATTGGATTCTGTTATTTCTGCCTCTCTCAAAAGTATAAACAGATTTTTCTCTTAAAAGGTTTATTGCAATAAACAAATTCCATTTAAGAGAATAACACCTGAAAGCCATTGCCATTGACTATATGTTTTAAATACTGTTCAAAGAATTATATATACATTATTTCTAATCCTCACAAAATACTCTATGTATAATTATTCTCATTTTATAGACGAATTCTTGGATGAAATTAAATGATGTGCTCTAAACACACAAAATTAAAGGGTAGAACTGAGATTCAGATCCACTTATGTCTGACTGACTAGGCAAGCTGAGGAATGTGTGTGTTTTGTGTGCTTATGTGTGTTTGTCTCCCAATCTATTATGTAATTAGCATTTTTTTTCAAGAGCAATTTCTATTAGGTGAAACTACTTTTAACACTTAATATTCATGGTGCTTTAATACACACATTCAAAACTTGCTGCTTCATTTTGGATGTAAGTTTGGAAAAAGACTTACTCCTAAAATAAATTTGTTTGAGAAAATTCAGCTTAAAGGTATGATAGTTATTACATAGGATGATTTTGTTTTCTCTACCCCCTCAAATACTTTAAAATGGCTTTGGTCATGTGAAGTTAGTATCATCACCCTGAGCTCAAAATCTCAAGATTCATTCTCTACTCCTTTAATAGTCCTCAGTATATTGTTTCTAAAGCAGCACCGGGAATTTAAAGAGAAAATACAGGATTTTAAAATGATAATGTGAATTAAAAATTCCTTTTTGTTTCTTTTCCCCCCTCTTGCTTGCTCTCTCTCTCTTTTTCTCTCTCTCTCTCCTCTATTTTCTTTTTCTTTTTTTTTTTTTTTTATGTTAGTCAATTAGCTACCACTCTATAAAAATGCCCTTGAGGTCTAGGGGATCCAGATCTGCTTAGGTACAAAAGGAAAAGGACATTCTACAATGTTCCTGCCTGCCCTGAATTATCCTTTTGCCTTTTATCAGATTGCATCACTATCTCTATGCTATGATTAAAAAATCGGCACATGCTTGTTTTTATCAAATTGCATGATACCATACAAATATACTACTCCCTTGTTTGCTGATACAAGGATCTTTTAGATATCAGAGGTTGCAAATTACTTAGGATGTTTAGATTATAAGACATTTAGTACACTAGGCATCTAGAATTTTGAAACACAATGCAACTTCATTAGCAAAATGAAAAACATTCATTTGTTCTTGCTTATTATTTTTGTAATCTGCTTATTCAAAATCCAAACCATCTCACGTTGAATGCCATTTACATTAGAATCATATCTAATATCCTGCCCATATTATTGCTCCAGGAAACAAATGCATTTTAGGAGAATTTATAAAGCATCTCTTTCAGAGGTGAGGCTCAGGGAAGCTCTGTGAGGCTGCAACAGTTTAGCAGAAGGAGTCAGGCCATAAAGAAAGAAGTGCTGGCATTGGGTGGGGCTGAATAGTTTGCATCTTTTCCCACTGTTTCTCGATGCTGTCATTTCCATGAAAATCGAGGGTGTGGGAATGTATGCCACAGAAAGAAATCCTGCAAACTGCTTTATGTGCCCCAAAGCCCCCACCCCATAATAGCTTCAGCTGTTTTTCTTAATCATTGAAAGAGCTATCACACTAATGTCTGGGAAAACTGCAGAGGAGCTAAGCAAGCCAAAGAAATATCATGCTGAGGATATTTCTCCTGTCACAGCAGTCTTTTCTCCTTAGGAGGAATACAGTTAGCATGAAACCAAAAGGCATTTGCTGTCTAGCCACCTCAGGATCATCACAGAGCAAACGCATCTAGCCAAAAATCTGCCTTTTGCTTCACAATCCACCTTGCTTCACACTATTCCTTTGAAACTCTAAAAATAAAATGACTCTCTCTCTCTACCCAGTTAACACCAGAAGTACCCATCAGTGGCCACAGTCCTCAGTAATCCACATGCGGAACACACCTCATCGCTATTCACTTCACCATGCTCCAGTCAGTGTATCCATTATGAGCCATGGCTCCTCTACTATTCTCAAAAAGCAGCAGTTTGCACCTGCCTCTTTAAAAAGGAAGGCTTGGCACTGTTATAGCCTACAGTTACTCATAATGCTCCACGGTTTCCATAGCCTCGCTGATATCACACACTCACACATGCACACACATACATGTTTATACATAGACGTTCCTAATTCCGGCGATTTACCTTCTTGGGTCTTTTTCTCCTCTGACTACTGCCATTGAACTTCTCTCCACTGTCGCTTTTCTGAGCTGCATCTTCGTTCATCATTTTGAACAGTTTGGAAAGAAAATATCTCTGCCATCAAACCGTGCCGCCTGTACAGACCACTAGCGAGTATGCACTTACTGGCGGAAAGCAGGAGGAGGAGGAGGGGTGGGGAAGGGGCGCGCGCTGGGAGGGTAAGGACGGTGACGTTGCCATGGCAGCAGCTGCCACAACTGTTTATCTGACTGCATTGTTAAATCTGATTCAACCAATTACCATCAGGAACAGGCTACAATGAAGAAAGCCTTGAAAAAAGAACGCCAGGGACTCGAGTGATTTGGAGACTCTGCTGGTTGGTTTCTGACACACCCTTGATAAGATCAGCTCTCAACGCACACACAAAACCTGCACTCAATTTTCTTCCTACAGGTACTTCAAGACGGAACAGATACAATACATAATGAGAAAACTATAACGTTCTAAAATGTGTCTCTGAACCTGAAGAGGTACATTTTAGCTGGTCAAGAGCTACTTAAAGAAAAGGAACGGCTATTAATATCCTAGAGTGACTATAAGAAAGCTATGATTTTCAGATGTTATTCACTTGGTTTAAAATATAATCTTTAAAAACTACGCTCAAGGATGACTTCTGTCATAAAGCCTTGAGCTTCTCCAGCCTCCAGGTAACCCAGACCACTCTCTTCTCTTGTGCCTCCTCTTTCCAATGTAAGCTTCTGGCAGAACACCTGTGATGATGTATTACACAACTGCACAAATACCTAGCCATCTTTTCTTGATAGGCCAAGAGCTTTAGGTCAGGGGTCCATGTGTGTGTTTGGGTTGGCTGAGAAGTGAATTTCCAGAACCAAGCATGTTCCATGGCACATTAAAGGCAGTTAATCAAGGTTTGTTAAATATATAAGATACTATTGGTAATATAAACATAAAAAAACTAATGGAGTTGCAATATTTTATAACTGATCTCAAAAGTTTTATTAACCTAATTATGTCCACTGACTGATGAATAGAACACAATCCCTCCTCTCAAGGGGTATATGCTATCAAGTTCCAGCATTCTTTTTGATTAAAAAAAATGTTTGTTTTTACAACAAGAAACCCAAATTCACATGTTGATTAAGGTGGCCATGCTTGCATATTTAAAAATACTAACTTGCAGATGTAACCAGAGCCTGATATACTTTGTGCAAATGTACATATGTATATTCTAAACACTTGCCCTTATTCCGAGAAAATGAACATAAAGCACAATACACTGCATACTTACAAGTAAAAATATAGTAAGGATTAAACCTATTAGATAGTGTATATAAATGCACTTTGAAATTGGAAGGTGTCTATGCAAATGTGTTACTATTGCTAATCTTGTTATTATTACAAATATAGACAATTTTCAACTCTGGAAAGTGTAACTTAAGAAATATTTATGTGAAAATTACTGCAGCATTTGAGAACTCACCTTTCCATCAGACACAGCAACAAAAATTCACCTTTTATCCCCATTGCTGTTAGGATCATTCTTTCTTTCTGCCTTACCACCCAAAGCCCCCCTCCACGTCCTCATCTAGAATCAACCCTGTTTTGCTGCCCTTCATGCCCTCCACCCTCCTCCTGTTTCAGCAGACCCATTCCACCAATGCTGTTTTCTCACCATTGCCTCAGTGGTACCTTGGATCACACAGCCAGGTCAAAGAAACAAAGGTTCTCTTTTTTTGAAACAAAACCCCAAAGAACTATAGAAGCCTCCAGAAGCCCAACTCCCACTGTTTTCAGAGGTCTCACAGAAATCCCCATGCCATCTCCTACTCCCCTAACACCTGTTCACCCAACCCCTCACTCATTCCCTTGTCCCATTAGGTGCCCCTTTCTTGACGTTTCTTGGGAGTAGCCTCAGCTTGGACACTGGATTCAGTTACTCAACAAATATTTACTGAATGCCTCTCGTGTGCCAGGAACTGAGCACTAGAGGCGCATTGCCCTAACTACTGCAGCTATCATGATAAACAAAACAGGCAACCTTTTTGCAGTCATCATGCTTATATTCTAACAGTGGAACTAGGTGGCAAACAAAAATAATAGTGACAAATGCTATGGAGGAAAAAAGTAGAATAAGGAGTGACGAGAGAAACATGTTACTGTGCTTAGCACATAAGGTGCTAAGGAATGCTCTTTAGCAAAAGAAAAGAAAAAAAGAAAGATGATTGGATTGATCCACTGAACAGCCTCAGTGAAACAGAAAGACTCCATCTCAAAAAAGAAAAAAGAAGATGATTTTCACACAACTGGAACATGTTTCTTTTAGAACATTCACAAAAGTAGTATGAAGAACTGCTATTGGTAAGCTGTGTTCACAAAGGAAAGTATTCCAGTATATCTACACAGAAAGTCCTGTCTGTATAGGACAAGACAGGAAGGGGAGGATGAGCTATCCAGTGGTTCTCAAAGTGGGGCTGCCAAGGTCACCATAACCTTTTCGGAGGCTCCTCAAGGTCAAAACTGTTTGATAAGAATGTCAAGATTTTACTTGGCATTATAAATAGCATTATCCCATGAGTGTGTAGGGTGTAGTCCACATGAACTGTGACATCACAACCAACTCAACGGACTGAATACATAAACAGATATGAGAATCAAGCTCTCTTCTCTTACGCCAGATATTAAAGATATTGGTAAAAATGTAAAACAATGCCATTCTGCTTCCTCATTATTGTTGTTGGGGAAAATAAAATTATTTTGCATAAAAAAAAAAAGAAATGCTCTTGAGAAATCTGAATGAAGGGACCAAGCCAAGCAATTATCTGAAGGAAGAATATTATAGGCAAAGAGAATAGCAGTTCAAAGGTCCTGAGATGGGAACTTCTTGGCAAAAGTGTTAAGGAAACTATTATACTATGAAAAGAAGAAAAGAAGCAAAATGGAAGACTTTCATAGTAACTGGATCTATAGGAGAGAGATGCTATTAACACTCTTCTTTGTCAACTGAAGTCTGAACATGTTTTTCAGTCAATGGGTTTGGTAGCCCAATTAGTAATAGAATCATTGCTTTTACATCACCTCTGCAATGCAAATTGAAAATAATGTACTTCATATTTCAACAGTTTATGAATTAGTAATTTCTGATTATGTTCAGACAACCTTTGTAACAATGCCTGCTCTGTCAACATACAAGCATACAGTGCTCAGTTTGACAGTTTGCTATAACCTGCTGGCTGCTTGTAGTATATCTCAGTGTGTTGGTGCTGCCATAACAAAATACCTGAGATGAGGTAATTTATAAATAATAGAAACTTATTTGTCACAGTTCTGAGGCTGGGAAGTTCTAAGATCAAGGCACCGGCAGGCTCAGTGTCTGGTAAGGGCCAGGTCTCTGCTTCACAGATGTTATACCAAACACTGTCCTCACATAGCAGAAGGAAAGAAAAGCGAAAAGGGCCTACCTTGTTCCCTCCAGCCCTTTTTGGTTTGTTTCTTGGTTTTTGTTTTTTTGAGGTTTTTTTTTGAAATGGAGTCTCACTATCACCTAGGCTGGAGTGCAGTGGCACAATCTTGGCTCACTGCAACCTCCGCCTCCTGGGTTCAAGCGATTCTCCTGCCTCAGCCTCCTGAGTAGCTGGGACTACAGGCACATCCCTCCAGCCATTTTATAAGATCACTTACCCCATTCATGAAGGCTCTATCCTCGTGACTTAATCACCTCCTAAAGGCCCAATCCCCCAACACCATCACATTGGGGGTTAAGTTTCAACATGATTTTAGAGGGGACGCCAATATTCAAGCCATAGCAGTGTCATTCTGAAATATTACTTAAATTTGTATACAATGCACTTCCTGTACAGAGTCAAAGTACTGCCCAAATACTATATAGCGTAACATAGATGTAAACATCTACATTCTGTATAAAATTAAATCCCCGCCAGTAGCTAAACAGGTGCTGGTAGTATTGTGTTGATTACAACATCAGAGGGAAAATATCTTTCTACAGAAAATGTCAACAAGATGTTATAAATGTTTGGCAGTCACTTTCTTTTTCTGAAATCTTCCCATCAATTTCTTTGTGCCTGTCTGCCAGTATTCTTCACTTTCTATCCTAATAGTATATTTTCCAGTGGGCATGTCCCTAACTGGACTTTAAGCTCCTTGAGGGCAGGATTACTATCTGTCTTGGCATGCCACATGAAGCCTACTGCAGCACATGGCATATAATAGGGGTTTAGGAGCTACTTTTAAATGCAATAAGGAATTATTTTCAGTATGTACTATAAGTTTTTACTGCTAGTTAGACATCTAAAAGATTTTTTTTATTCCTTAGATTTTTCTTTCTCTTTATGTACTTTCTGATATCTAATAACTAGATATAATTTTAAATAAGATTTTTACAGATATTTGAGAAAATGGAGTTGCTGCAGACACAAGAGCAATTGATGATAATACCTTACATTTGCATTTTATGATTCCTAAAGCCCTTTTGGCTCCAAGAATGGAAGCTCCATAAGAACAGAGATCTTTGTTGTTCTCATTGATATATTTCAAGCACCTATAAGAGTGCCGGCATATGACAGACACTCAATAAGTACTAAGTGACTTTATGAGATTATCATAACCACACAAGAGGTTAGTGTCAATCACAGTACAGGTGAAAAAGCTGAAATAAAAAGTGGGTTTGGTGACTTGTCCAAAGTAAGAAAGTTAATAAGATATAGAGCTTAAGTTCCTCAGATTTGAAGGCTGTTGTTCTTTTATTAAATCATGGCTGGCTTCAGTGAAAAGCAGCCACTTAATAAAGTATAAGATGGGCAAAGACTAAGATGGAAAATGCCAGGAGCAGAAACCACTGTCAGATAACAATGACCCAAGAAGAAATATGAAGATGTCTTTATTGGTTTTATGTTAAGCATATTTTATAGGCATGGAGTTTTAGAGGTGATTATTCTAATTTTCATATGCCTATTCTATTTTATTAAACCATTAGAGTTAATAGTATTATGATCTCTAACATGCTATTTAAATTCATAACATTATTTGAGTGGGGTAAAGTTTCCTGAAGCATAAGTCTTTATGTCTTAGAGGTAGATTATTTCCATTTGTGAGTCAGAGTTGTCTGTTGTTACAAACACATTTTTTCACAGAAACAATGTTTAAAAATCTCAGTTCTCCAAAGCCCTTGAAAGGCTTTCCCACTCACTATTACTTCTAGTAGAAAATCTTAACAACTTGGCAAAGATCCAACAGGGGACACCA